AGGCCATAAAACAAAAACGGCATCAAATTAGTAGTAGATTTACATGTAAATGTGAAAAACTTTAAAACATATTTAAAAAAACCATGAATTAAGTATAACCATCGATCGATTCCTGGCTTCCAAGAAATTCAAAAAGAAAAAAATTCGTCGTTTTGAGTCACTGACGACAAATTTTCTCATTTAAAATGAATAATTTAAAAATAATTAAAAGAAAGCAAAAAGAAACCAGAAGCGGGCAAAAATTGCGTGATTCTCGCTTTACAATGACGCATTGCCTTTAGATAAACCGACTCGAAGAATTAAACAATGGAAACAAAATCGTTGTCTTCAGGTAAACCAGTCTTAAAAAAAGCATTTTGATTTCACATCATACCTGTTCCAGCCATGGCCTTTGTACCCTCGGTAGGGAATTCGTACGGCTTAATGTCCCCTCCCTGGAGAGTAAGAAGTACTAAGGGCAAAGCACTTTCATAGCCAAGAGCAATACACTGACCCTCCCCCACGGGATGAACAGCTGTCACCTGTAAAATGAGAAACAGAATTTTGTCTGTCAAGAAACACGAAGGAGAAAAATATGGCGGCGAGAAAAACATAAATTATAATATCATATCGCAATTTTTTTTTTTTACCCCAATATCACTGGATTATATTTAGCGAATAGGACATTCAAAGGTGACCTACACCGTTTACAAGGTTATTTATAATTGACCAAACGAAACTATAGTAAATAACACAAACAGTGCCCCTAGCCTTGAGAACAAAAGAAGTGCAGATTAACAAGAACGAATCAAAATAGGGGTTAACACATATCAAACTACTTGTTTAATTCAACATGTTAATTTGTTCTTCATACTTTGAGCTTATCAGTCACACTTAATGCTGTTCACGTACTTTTGACACCGAGTTTTGGTATCAAATAGTATCTATGGCGAGGTGTTCTAAGCAACCATTTCCAATTCCTTTGCATATCTTTCTCTTAAAGCAGCCTGAATAGACAGGCAATACGGAGAACAGAAAATAGCTCTGTTTACGCGCACGCCCGAGTAACTGGACAGGACGCGTCACGCCTGAGTGACTCATAACTAACAGCACGCTTATACACTGAGTAGCACTTGACTGGGTTCCCGTTTTCTCGTTTTTACCTTGTGGAAAAACAAACTCAACTGGTGTTTCTAGTCACCAAAACGTTTAAAAGTAAGCGTGGCGCATGTGGAAGTAAAACGGTGGTTTTCTCACCTTGTCTGCCGTGAAAGAGGCTTTTTGCACGCCCGCTCTCATATCCCACATGATCAGCGTCTTCTCGTCATAGGAAACCACTATGTCCCCTTTTGAGGCGATGACGTCAATGCGCAGGTTACTGAAATGGCTGCTGGGAAGGATATGAAGAAGGGTCCCTACAGTGTTGAAAAAAAAAACAAAACAAAACAAATAAAAGAAAACAAGGAAAAACGTTAGCTAAAAAGTGTAAAAAGTTCCTTTTGGAGCCACTCAATTGACCGTCAGAAAAAAAGAAAAGAAATACCTTTCAATACCACGAAAATAAACTCCTAAATCCGGAAACTGAAAATGAAAGGTAGCTATCACATGCAGTTTTTCGACTAATCAGAAAAACAGCTGTGTTTTTTCGAGGAAGGACGTGCCAACCCTTCCCTGCCAACCCTAGAAACAACTGCAAACGAGATCACGGAAAAACAGCATTGAGTGACATAAGAAAAAGTGCTGTAAAACAAACTACGGGAAAAGCGTTGCGTTACAGCTTCTACAACGGCTGTGAACTGGGTTGCACGACGTCTCCAAAAACTGAGCTGCAAAGACGACTACAAACGAAATACTGCGTAACGATTAAAAAAACCCACTGAAGTATAAAGTGGATTAAAAGAAAAGGCTTGCATGAAGACTCGAGAGAAGAATAATTGAAAACAACTTTAGGAAACCTCTCGCGTTTGTTTAGAAAATACAGCTGTAATACAATTTCTTCTTTTCAGGGAACAAGAGAGGCTGGATTTAAATCTCCAACCTTGTTCAATGTCCCAGCAGACGATGTTCAAGTCCTTGTGCGCAGTCACCGCACGGGTGTTGTCCATAACTTTCACAGCAATGGTGTCTGTATCATCTGTATACCGCAAGTCGTGCGCCAGCATCTCTGGAATTTCAAAAACACCCCGTTATCGACGTGCAAATTCTCCATACTGACCTTTGTACTGATCTTGCTGTACATGTTAGGAGAATTTGATTGATCAAGAAGTTTCGAAAACCAACAGCATAATGTCAAACAGTAATGGAAAAGAATAGCACGACAAAAAACAGATCAAGTCCTGTTTCACTGTTCATCACTGTTGTCAAGAAGGAAGGCATGACATTCATGTGAAAGTCTGGAGAGAACATAACCTTGTGCTTCAAAAGATAATTCTCTATCAATTTTTTATGACATCAGTGGAAAAACGTTTGAACAAGTTGTGCTATGTACCAACGGAAAGTTTTCTTTAACGCAAAGAAGACTTTTACTCTTAGAGGACATGGCAATCTATTTTCTTATCAAGAGAATATTTGTACTTACTTCTCTGTACATCCCACACCGCTGAGAATTGGATAGAGTCAGTTTTGTTAGTCTTTTTAGCACACGATACGAAATACTGGCCATCCGGCGTAAAGCCCGCATGAGTCTTGGTCAACCTCTCACACCCCTCCCTCTGGATCACAAAAATTTGCTTTCTCGTTTCCAGGTCCCACACCTGCAACTGGTCACATGGCCGGGCCACGTTCCACACAGCAACCGTTCCTTCTGAGTTTACGAGGAAGGAACGAATGTCATGTTGGGATGTGCCCGATTTTAACACGGCGACTTGGTCGCCTGTTTCGATGTCATAGAGCGTCAAATTCTTGCGATCGTGCGAGTAAGTAAGAATCTCTGTTCTGTCGTTCACAACACAGATGTCTTCCACGCCCAACAGATCATCCGCAGAGATTTTTCCTTTTAGAACCGTCACAACCTTCCACGTGCACAAATCCACGATCGCCACGCTATTGTTGACACGGATAGCAACTCTTCTGTCATTGATGATCTGAAGGTAGCTTGTTGTAATACCAGTGACTTTGCGCACTGGTAACACCGTAGGCAAATCCCAAATAGTCACGCAAAAATTATCAATCCCCAATCGGCCGACTGTTACCAAGTGTCTGGAGTCGCCGGGAATGGAATAAATGTTTAATAAAGTCTCAGGCTTTTCGACCTGTCTACGAACATCCTCTCGAGTTAGGTCCCAGACTCTTACAACGTTGTCACCTCCGGAAGTGAGAATCCCATCACAGCCCACCGAAAAAATCCTGGAGACGTAATTTGGGTGTGGTAAAACATCCCTTCTCTCGCCGCTTTCGAGATCAATTAGAGCGACTTTATCGTGTTTAGGAAAAACCAACATATTTTGTGTGGGGTCCAGCGACGCGTTTCTAACCCAGTCATCGATTTTGCACTTGTACGTTCGTAACAATTCCCCTTTATCGACCGAGAACAGATCAACTTTCATCTTCTTGGCAACTAGAACCTCGTTTTCGGATTTCATCGCTATCTGAGTGAGGTGTAGTAGATTTTCTTCGTCTTTCTCATCGAACACCGTGATTGAATGGAGGATTTTGAAGTCGTGGGCATCAATCACTTTCAAGGAGTTTTCGTTTTGTTTTGAGTTACAGAGTACGATGTCATTCCAGGAGGTGAGCAAACTGTTCTGTCCCGCATTGCCGACGGGGTTGATGCTTGAAAATTGGTGCAAAAATTTGCCCGTAGACGTTAGGATGACATGCAAACCCTTCTCTTTGAAGAAGACAACTTTAGTTCCGTTTTCGCCAGCAATTGTGAGTGGAGGAAAGCTCTCAAAATACTTGGTTTCCACTCTATAATAGGCAAAAAATGTGAAAAAAGTGTTGGTCACCGACAGTCCAACACAGATTGGTTAAGAAAGCAGGTCTTCAACACTTTAAAAACACAGAAAATCGTTTTTTTTTTTTGTTTTACCTATGAAGAATTTCACCGGTTTCAAACGAGATCACAGCTATTCCAGTCTTAGAGGAAACCACGATGATGCCATCGTCACAACAGCACGCGACCTTGCCAATCTCTTGCCCAGCTTCAGGCACGGTCAGCAATAACGAACCGTCTCTGATGTCCCAGACTTTGACAACACCGTCATGTGACCCTGTCACGAAACAAAATGTAAGATCAATGACTGGCCACAACAAAGTTGACCGGAAATAAGCGACTCTCGTGAACTAGCGAAGGTTGGAATGAGTCAAAACAAAGCTAGAAACCAATTTAGAAACACTAGATGGATTTCGCGCAAAGTAAAAGTTACATCTGTTTACTCATTACGCGTAAACAATTAGATTATGAGCTCTAGATTTCTATCGCGTGAGAGTTGAGGAAGGCGCAGCCCGAGTTAATTATCACGCATAGAAATCGAGAGCGAATAATCTAATTGTTTAGTATAAATCAACGTCTTGACTAGTAAATTATCTAAATCTTCTTCACAGACACTTCGAAAACGCAGGGAAGTGGCGGCCATTTTGTTAACAACCGCACACTGCTGGGCTACTCACTACCTAAAATATTATTATTATTATTATTATTATTATTATTATTATTATTATTATTATTATTATTATTATTATTA